GAGAGATATAATCCCTCCTGCGTGTCCTGGGTCTGCCCCGGGCCTCCTCCCAGTGGGACATGCCTGGAATACCTCACCCAGGAGCCGCCCTGGAGGCACCCTTATCAGATGCCCGAACCCCCTCAACGATCTCCTTTCGATGTGGAGGAGCAGCTCCTCTACTCAGAGCCCCTCATGGATGGCTAAACTTCTGACCCTATCTCTAAGGGAGAGACCAGCCACCCTTCGGAGGAAGACCATTTCTGCCGCTTGTATCCACAGTCTCGTTCCTTCGTTCACTACCCACAGCTTGTAACAATAGGTGAAGGTAGGGAAGAGGATCGACCGGTAAATTGAGCGCTTCGCTTTTACACTCAGCTCTCTCCTCTTCACCACGATGGACCGGTACAGCATCTGCCTTACTGCAGCTGCAGGACCACACCGTCTATCAATATCCTGCTCCTTTCACCTGTCACTTGTGAAAAAGACTCTGAGATACTTAAACTCCTCCATTTGGGGCAGGAACTTGTCCCTGACCCAGAGCTTGCACTCCGCCCTCTTCCGGCTGAGAACAATGGCCTCAGATTTGGAGGTGCTGATTCTCATTCCCATCGCTTCAAACTCTTCCCCGAATAGTTCCAGTGCGAGCTGGTGGCCATCACCTGATGAAGCCAAGTCCTGGTGCCACGTGCACTTAAGGACACTTATGTTTGAACACGATGTTCGTTATGGACAGACTGTGGTAAATTGCTTTAGGTCATAGAGCCACATAGTGTGTGACTGCCTGATGTGTTATGTTATATTTAATAACATGAAAGTTGTCAGACTTCATTTCTGAAGGTGTGATTTAAGTTTTAGATGAACAGTTTGACTGAATAATTTTGTCTGATGTTTTTTATCTTAACTTGTTTTATGTTTGTTTTTGTTGTTGTTGTTTTTTTGCCAAAAGGTCTTACAAAAATATTCAGCTAAACAGCTAAATGTTTGGATCTGACATTTGCAATTGTACACAATAAATGGATGCAGTTTTCACTTTGTTATGTAGTGCTATAAATTGAATTGAACCAAACTGAATTGAAAGTAGAAATGTTAGCCACTTGCACAACCTGTGCAAGGCAATGATACATTTCATTGCCAACTATTGTCATGATTGACTTCTACTCTCAGGAAATCATATACTGCAGGCTTGGTCAGAACCATTTGTTTGCTTGGGAACAGGTTGGGTATTCTAACCCAGATTTGTACCTGTTCCTCATTCTACACAATATAGCTTTGGTGCTGTAAGTAAACGTCGCAGCATGTAAGGAGGAAAGTGACAGGCCACCACGCATTCTTCACTCATTTAAAATTTAGTATGCAGATATCACATCTCCACCAAGTGGCATTTGTGTATCACACTTGGATGAAATTCTAACGAAGCAGATTGCATGGCTTTTAGGGTGTCCTATCTTCTCCAAGAGTCCATGTTATCTAGAAATCCCTTAGTTGTCGGGTATGTCACCTTCTTCTGAAGCTGAATCAGTAAACCTGCTTAAACATCATCAGCGTCAGGAATGAAAAAATAATCATTATAATAATCAATCTATGTAGACTGTGAAATGTGAGTTTCTTCTCTAACCTCTTTTTTTTTTTGTCCTGGTCTCTCCTCTCCCTCAGTGCTATGACTCAGCCTGGACAGCAGCTCCTACCCACATAGAGGTCACTTTACCTCTCTTTCTATCTGCTTTGGTCCAGAGGATGCTGGGAATGTGTCGCGGGCGCCGGAAGTTCCTGGTGGCCTCCCTCGCCCTGCTCTTCATCCCAGCACTTACGTGGCTTTACCTGTCAGTCGGGAGCTTTCAAGGTAAGGACAATAAGTATTGGCAGAGTTATTTGCAACTTTTATGGCTTTAAATTATTTAGGTTTCTGTGGGTTTTTTTTAAACCATTTTAAAACAGTCTAACTATAATGAAAACACTAATAGAAATGAATACATAAACACATAAAACAAGAACAAGAAGAGCCTATAGAGTTCTTCTTGGAAAAGCAAACTGTGTTTGGTACATTATCACATTCAGATCATAATTCTGATTGCAAAAGCTACCAGACAGGACAGGATTAAAAAAAAAAAAAAAAAA